CCAGGATGAATCTGTTTGTTTTCCTAGCAGTCCATGGTACCCTCAATACTCTTCTCCAGCACCACAGCTCAAAGGCATCAATTCTCCTTCTATCCTCTTTAGTCATTGTCCAACTCTCTCATGCATTCAAAGGCTAAATTAATAAATTTTTATTAATTGTCCAACTTTCAGATGCATAAGAAGCAATTGAAAATACCATGGCTTGGATCAGGCGCACTTTGGTGTTTAAACTGACATCATTGCTCTTTAGCATTTTTGAGATGTCTTTGACAGCAGCTTTCATTTTCAAGGGTCTTTCTGAAATCTGCACATATATGATGATAGTGTACATTCCCCCGCCCTCGAACATTTATTGAAAACATTTTATATGTCAGACCTGCTTATGAAGCCTTCTGTGCTTTGACTAGGGAGTTCTGGTGGCCTAATGGTAAAGAGTTGTGCTGCCAACTCAAAGGGACATGTTTCGAATCCACCAACTGCTGCTCCATAGGAGAAAGATGGGCAGTCTCCTGTGCTGTTTACAGCCTCTGAAAACCTACTGGAGGGTCAGCTGTGTCACATAAGAACAACAACAACAACAACAAAACATGCTTTAACTATTTTGTCTTACTAACAACCTTGTAAGAGAGCTATAATCACCGTTTCTATTTATTGGTGAGGAGATAGAGGCCCAAGGAGCTTCGTAACTTGACCATTGAAGCTCTTGTGAGCCGTGGCCGACAGAGCTGGGCTTCAAATCTGAACATTGCATCCAGAGCCAATGGGAAGGAGCTACCTCAGTTCCAGGAGGAGGGAATCTCTGAGAGAAAAAGGCGTATACACAACTCCTAGTTCTAGAGCCAGAGGTCACAGGAATGGGAAAGGAGCGAGACCGGGAATGGCTTTACTGCTCTACTGCAGTGTGGACGGAAGTTGTCTGCGGAGGCCTGGGTTACATTTGATGGTAGCGTACACCCCGTTCTCCATAACTCAACATTGTAAGACATGCAGATGCCACATTTTAAACCATCAAGGCCAGTCTTTAACTTTTGGGGAAGAACTTAGGTGGTTAGAAAGTTGAACTTTTAGTTCATTTCTTTATGAAATTATTACTATTATTATTATTATATCTTTGAACAAATCCAGAAGTATAATATCTTTTTAAAATTTTTTGCTTATAAAAATTTACTAAGAAGGAGATTAAAAGGGATCATTTCATCTATCAAAATGCTCCTTTTTTAACTTTTTTAAAAGTTGGTTTGCTTACTAAGTTTCTATTCATTATGTTTCACACTTTTCTTCGTTCACATTGTGATTCATACAGTCATTCTCATCATTACGTTTTAGAAAAGTAATCACCATTGGACTTTGCCCATTATTACCCTGTCTTTTCACCTTCCCATTTCCTACCCCTCTGCCTCCACTCACCAAACTGCAGCCCTGTGGCTTCACCCCTGCCCATCCTCACCCATCTGCTTCCCTGCACCCCTTGAGTTTCCATGTTTTTCTGGCTTATTCTCCTATTTTTACAATAATGGTCTTATGCACCATTTGTCCTTGTGAGACTGCGTCAGTTCACTCAGCACAGTGCTCTCCGAAAGTGTTTGCCTTGTCATTGTTCTCATAATTAGATCTTGACAACTTCCTCATTTAATGTCCGGTAACACAGTTTCACCCTGTTATGAATAATCCTCCTTCAGCCATTACCGCACACGAATTAGGGGCGAGAGGGAAAGAGAGCACTCAGATTTGCTGGTAGTTTTCCTTGAACGGCAGTTCACAGGATAATTCACCTTCCTGAGTGTCTGGTGCGGTGCCTACCTTCTTGATAGGTTCTCAGTAATCTGTGCCAATACTTTATTTCCCCTCAAGATGTTTCCTTTTTAGAAAGGACCAGTTTTCCAACATTCTGGTTTTCTGTTTCACTCTTATTTACTGCGGTAGCATCCGTTCTGATTCGTGGAAATCCCGTTGGACAGACATCTGTCCTGTGAGTTTCCAAGGCTATAAATATTTTGTTTGTTGATGGATTTTTTAGAAATTAATTTTAATGAAAGTTTACAGAGATTTTGGATTTCCATTCCTTCGTTGTTGCTCTTTTCTCCCTGCACAGCCTCCCCCCACTACCCCCGCCAAGTTCGCTCATCTCTTTGAAAAGTAAATAAAAATTCTTTCATTGTTATACAATCCCTCCCCCAAAGTCAAGGCTGTAAATCTTAATGATAGTAGCCTGTCTCATCTTACTCCCTCCGAGTGACTGATGGATCCGAACCACTGACCTTGAAATTAGCAGCCCAGAACTTACTCCATTAAGTCACCAGGGGTCCTCTTTCTTTACTATCCTTTAAGCTAACAAGCTTTTCCAAAATGGGGTCCAAAGAGGGGGCAGAGTTTCTTTTTCACCATATATCCGAAAGTCAGGCCTGACCAAAGAATCATTTCCCTTCTGAAGACCTTGTTGATGAGAATGTACAAGTACACAGTGAAAAAGACATGTTACACAAACAGCCCTGTTGGTCTGATAATGCCAGTTAGGGTTGATACGGGCACCAAGTTTACAGATAAAGAGCTTGGCAGATATGTTGAATTGGCCAGGATGGAGGAAGACACTTCCCACACAGGGCAAGTGGGAGGAAAGAAGACATGGAAATTCAGGATGTCTGTTTAACTTAGCATGAAGAAAATGGATCGTGGAAAGTACCAGGATTCTTGGAAGATTATGCCTGAAGGTGACTCGTTAGTACATGCTTTGCTTTTTGTTAAATTCTCCTTGCCTGTGTGCCTCACATTCCGAAAATGAAAGAGATTTCTTTTCCTGTAAGTCCTGTGAATTTATTTACCCCATGAGTTCCGAATTCCATAAGTTCTGTGAGATGTACCCACATTTTCAAGGAGGATTGTGTTTCCTGTCTCATCTAGAACTTCCCTAAATCTACACCCCTGTGCTTCATATAGGATCTGTAATTGACTAATAAAGTAGTGGTCATAACGTGTATTCATTTACTTAAGCATGAAAGTAAATGCCGAAGACTTGGCTGTTGCACAGTAAACCTGGTATGCGGGACAAGGACAGATTGATGTCCACCTTAGAGGGGCAAGGATTGGGTGTGATGGGTCTTGGAGTCTGGTCAACCTGGATAAGAACCTCAACAGACTGTTAATGCAGCCATATTGGAATGCACCCCAAATCAAGTAACAGATTTCTCCTTCCTTTCTTGAATTTGAACCAGGAAATTTTCTTAGAGAATATAAGATTTCTTTTTTTTTTTTTCCACCTCCCTCTCTTGGTTTCCATTCTTGTCTAGAGAATAAAAAGTCTTAGTATTAATGTCTTTATGCTTCGGTTTGAGGGTGGATGGTCTGATTGGAAAACACTGTTGGGAGATGAGAGGCTTGTTCTGAACTTCCCTTTGCATCTCAAGAGCAGTATATTTTCGTTTGATTGGGTGTTCACTTGGCGTGACTTGGGAAGGATTAATAGAGATCATAGGGAAGCAGCTGTTGTTAGGTGCCGGCAAGGCGAGTAAGACTCAGAGTGACCCTGAGAACAGCAGAGTTGAACCCTGTCCTATTCTTTGACATGCTCATTATCCTCGGATATGCCAGAGATGATGAAGATAGCACAGGATTGAGGAGCAAGAGACCTAAAACCACAAGCTGGATTGACAATGGACTCAAGTGTATCAGAGATTATGAGAATGGCACAGGACAGGACAGGGTTCAGGTATGTTGTTAATAGGGTCACTATAAGTTGTACTCTACTTTACAGCACCTAACAATAACAATGAGGGATGATAGAAGGAGAATTGATGCCTTTGAGCTGTGGTTCTGGAGAAGAGTATTGACTATACCATGGGCTGCTAGGAAAACAATAGGTTTGTCCTGGAGAGAGTGAAACCAGGCTGCTCCTTGGAGGCAAGGATTCTGAATCTCCATCTGACATACTCTGGGCATGTTGTAAGGAGTCTTTAGAGAAGGGACATCATGCTTCCAAGGGTGGAGGGACAGCGCAAGAGAAGACGATCCTGGATGAGATGGATTGATTCAGTGACTGGGGTTATGGGGCTAGGTGTGTCAGAGACAATTAGGTTGGCACAGGATAGAGCAAGGTTCAGAGCTGTTGTACGTAGGGTCGTGTGACTCATTGGCCCAACAACAATAATAACAACAATGCTTTCATATGAAATGTGTTATATAATCTTCATAGCAAGCCTACAAGAAAAATTATCATCCCCATTTTTCAAATACAGAAGTTGAGGTTGTATGCCTAAGGTAATGACGGAGTAGGGATTTTTGTCCAGGTTCGTCATGCTCCATCATATATATCGCTCTCCCCCACCTAAGTTGGACTTCATTCATTCCTTGTCTCCCCTACCAGGGGTGTTTTATAATAAACTACATTCTTAGTGTTTATTTTCACGTGGGGAAGGTTTTTATCCTGGGACCTTCTGTCTTTTGTTGCCCCCGAGTCATCTGGGACTCATGGTGGCCCGAGGCATGCAAGAGTTAAAACAGTGCCCTAAAGTGCTTGACAGAAATAGGTCGCCAGCTTTTCCTCTTTAGGTACCTCTGGATGGACTTGATCCGTTGGCCTTAGTGGCTCCTTTTTTCCAAGAAGCGTCGTATCTGTGATGTGATGTCTGCTGGTCGGAGAGGAAAGCAGTGAGTGCGTGGGTGTCGATGTGGACGGAACTAGGGATGGTAATGGCACCTCTGTGATTTCTCTGCAGGAGCTCGCTGTCCCAGTGGTCCACGACGGGGGTGCCCTGCTGGCCTTTGTCTGTGGCGTTGTGTACACGCTCCTACAGTCCATCATCTCTTACAAATCGTATCCCCAGTGGAACAGCCTCACCATGTGCTACATCCGCATGGCCATTTCTGCCCTGTCCTGTGCAGCTGTCGTCCCCAGTATCCTTTTGCTGTTTGTTGATGTCCTCGAGAAGGTGACTCCTACCTCCTGAAACAACCCATGGAAAAAAGCAAAGGTTCACGAGTACATTTCCACGGGCTTAGGAGAAAAGCGTAAATCATTAAGAAACTCTTGACCTTGTCTGGTTAGATCAAAAGAACATTTGGGGCATGATGGTGAGAGGAGGGTGGGATACCGGAGCCACACTCCAGTCTGTTGATTTTTCCTTCAAACAGGGTGGGCGTCATGAGCCTGGTGAAAATGTTTGTTTTTCTTTGTAGTCCTTAGCTAAAGATGTCAAATATTGATATTACACTTAAAACGAGAGCCCTGTGAAGTGTCAAGAGGTCAGCCCTTCCTCTCTCACTGCACTATGGCGATAAAGAGATAGCTTAAATTATGTTTCTATATTAAGAGTCACTAATGAGCTCCACACCAAGACTTTCTACACTAGGATAGACTTCTGGTTTATAAATCTATCTATAATCTATAGATTCTATAAATCTATAGATTTATGGATTAAAGACCTATGGTTTCTTTTTTATTTTAATTTTTTTATTGTATTATTTTTATGTGTACCGTCAAATCAGATCTGACTGGTAGAGGAGGAGATTGCCTCCTCCTTCTCCAGCAGAGCATCTGGTGGATTTGAACCACGTACCTCTGGGATTGCAGTGCAGCATCTTGCCACTAGGCCACCAGAGCTCCCTTATGGTTTCTTTTTATAATCAACAACTTCGATGGTATAAACCTGTTTGTGATTGGCTGCTAACCTGAAGTTTGCTGGTTCAAACCCACTCAGCAGCTCCTTGGAAGAAAGATGTAATGATCAATTTGCTAAAAGATTGCAGCTTTCTACAATCTTTCTGCAAGCTTTCTGCTGAGTGTTCCCCTCTCAAACACATGGGGTCGCCAAGATTGGAGTCTAATGAATGACAATGTTAAAACTTTTTTTTAACAAAAATTACTGTTTTCCTTTTGAATTCCAATTAAGTAATGTACAAAAAAGAAAGAAAGAAATGAAGAAAGAGAGTCATTCTTGTGTCTTCTGGTTTGGAGAAATTAAAGCTCTTCCCTTTATGTTTCACTTTTTCAACAGATAATTCACAAAGCTTGGCCACTCTGTGGTCTTTAAAAGGGTAGAAAGTTTCCCATCTTTCAAAATACCATCTGTAATCATATCAGAAAACGTTGCAAAATCTTTAAAAAAACTCCAGCACAAAGCCCACTCACCCAAAACTGGTGACTCATCCCAGATAAAAGGAAAATGGGAGCTATTTTATCAGCAGTTTGGACTGGGGCTAGGGTTCAAAATGAGCGAAACTGAGTGCAAACATATCACATGATTCGAATATTAAGCTTTGCATTTCTCTTTAGAATAGAAACTTCACAACATTTAAAGCTTAAGAGTGGTTTGGGGTTATTCTCTCCTTCTTGGGGAAGGAAATTTTTCCGTTACACAATTTCCAAGCACAGAGGAACCAAATGCCTGGTATTGAGAAATTGCCCAGCAGTGTATGTACTCGGGCTCCCAAGATAAGTCTTTCTCAATTTCCTTGTCCTTCTATTTATGACATGCTTTCGCTCCAAATAAATCTGCTTAAACCCATTAGCTTTTGTTAACGGTCAGGTTTATAATGCACTGTAGTCCATTGCCTTCGAGTCAAAACCAACCCATATCTGACCCTCCAGCCGGTTTTCAGGAGCTGTAAATAGCCCAGGAGCATGTCCGTTTTCCTCCCAAGAAGCAGCTAATTTATTGGACTTGGCCTGCTTTGGATTGGCAGTGCAACTCCTTACTATTACACTAAAGCTCCCGCAGATGGAGAGTTCTTGTTTGCTGTTGAGTCAGAACTGACCCATAGCTGACCCTCCAGCGGGTGTTCAGATGCAGCAGATCTCACAGGAGATTGCCCGTCTTGCTCCCATGGATCTCCTGGTTCTTGTTGTAGGAAACCTTTTTTTTTCTTGCTTCCAGCCTTAGAGCCAGATCTCTTGATACTAAAATCGGTGAGCGTTTTAGCAAAAAAAAAACAAAACCACACCCCAAACAAACCCCAAACCAAAAAAAAAACAAACAACAAACCCAAGCCCATTTTAATAGTTTCCATTTCTAGCAGGATTTGTATCCCCAAACAGAAATTAGTTGTAGCTCGGTGTCAAATTGACTAGAATGAATTGACTCCTGTTGAGAGTCTTGTTTTAAGTGTGTGATTAGTAGTTAGATGCTGTTGAGTCACTGTCCGGGCCTGCCCCATTCTTGCAGTTGGGAGAGCCAAGCCCATTGCGTCAGTGCACACTGTCATTCCATCTCATTCAGGGTTGACGTCTTTTTTTTTTCTTCCCCCTGAACCTCTAATCTCTTAAACATGTTGTTGTTAGGTGCCATCAATGCCTCTGACCCATAGCAATCCTGTGAACAGCAGATCTGAGCCCTGAGCTCTCCCGTGTCACCCTCACACTTCCTGACACACCAGAGTCCATTGCAGCAGTCACAGTGTCAGTCCATCTGGTGGAGGTTTTCCTCTCCTTCACTGACCCGCTACCTTTCCAAACCTGATGTCCCTCTCCAAGGAATAGCCTCTCCTAGCAGCCTGCTCAAAGTATGTAAGATTAAACTTCAATAGCTTTGCCTCCAAGGAGCAGCACTTTCTCCAAGACATTATCTGTTCTTTTAGCAGTTCATGGGATGTTCAGAACTCTTCTCCAGCACCCAACAACTCAAAGGCATCATTTCTTCCTGTGTCATCCTTATTCACTCTCCATGAGCTTAAACATGAGTATAACTTAAAACATGGCAAAAATCTTTAAATATTTGCCAACTGGCTTCATTTTGCAATTGGGAAACAAAGGTCATGAGAGTATCAAACCTCAAAGTCTTTCTTGCTGAACTCAGCTTCCAAGGCTTTCTGAAGGATCTTCAGAATCACAGACAATTTCCTGTTCACGACACGTGTTATCAGGGGGCCTCTTGCATCTTCATCTTTGTCTACCCTAGTTCGTTCTTAGTTTGTTTTGTTGTTGTGTGCCGTTGATTCATAGCTGACCTCTCAGCGGGTTTTCAGACGCAGTAAATTGCAAGGGAACAGATTGGCCATCTTTTTCCCATGGAGCAGCTGGTATATTCAGACCATGTGCCTTTGGAATCGCAGCATAGCTTTTATCACTAGGCCACTAGAGCTCCCTTACTGGTTTGCTAAAGCTGCCATAATGGTTTCATCACTAGTAGATGATCTGGCATCTACTTCCTAAACAGCTTGCTTCTGGAAACTATGAACTTTGATAAATGTCGATAGTTGTAGACGGACTTCAAGCCTTTTGTTCATAGTGTTGCTATGAGTTGTGCTCGACTCAAAGGCAATCAACAACAACAGATAATCTTAAACAATGGAATTTTATTTGCTCACAATTTTGGAGCCTAAAATTCTGAATTCAGGGGGTCAGTTCAAGCTCTTTTGTTCTTTTATGTACTAGTAATATTGATTATTCCTGCGTATTCCTGCTCTGTATGTGGCATCTCCTCCTGTGTGTGTGTGTGTGTGTGTTTCTGTATCAATACACACCTTTGTAAAGTGTCACTCAGAAACTCATTAGAACTCACTCCACTCCTGTATGACCTCATTCTAATAAAATAAAACTCCAGTTTTCAAACTGGGTTACATTTACGGGTCTGGGAGTTGAAACTCAAGCATATACTTTGGGAGACATAGAACATAGTTTAGTCCATAACACTCCCCTGCTTCGTAACACTCCCATGTTGTTGTTGTTGTTTGGCAACATTGAGTTGAATACAACCCACTGGAACTCGACTAGCAGCAGATCAGAGCTGCACCCTCCTGCTCCGTCCTCGTGATCTTCACCATCTCAAACCCAGTGTTGCCGTCACTGTGTCGGTCCTCAGGATCCTCTGCTCTTTTCACTGACCCTCTCTCTTCCTCAGCAGGTATCTTCTTCCAAGGCTTCGCTCTTCCTGACCAACATGTTCATAGTGTGTGAGACACATTTTTATCATCCATGCCTTTGAGGAGAGCTCTGGTTGCACTACCTCCGAGATAGATGTACTTGTTCTTTTGGGAGTCCATGGGATATTCAGTTTTTTCACGACCACAGTAATTGCAAGGCATGGATTCGTCAGTCTTCCTTATTTATTGTCCAACTTTCAGATGCATTGGAAGCAGTTGAAAAGACCATGGCTTGGAGCAGGCACACCTTAGTCTTTAAAGTGACATCTTTGCTCTTTGGTACGTTAAATTGCTCTTTGACCGTGGATTTTCCCACTGCACTGTATCTTTTGATTTCTTGACTGCTGCTATTATAGCTGGGATTAATACTCCCCTGTGTCTGGCTGTATCCTTCTTTTGTACTCATCCCTCTCCACCTTCTCTTTGTAGAACTGAGCTGTCTTTCCATTATGGTGATGGTGGTGGTGGTGATGTACTGGTAACTTGAATAGGACTCATAGCAACCTTGTGAACAACAGATCTGCATCCCGTTAAATCCTTTGTCATCCTCCTCACCTCTGACACACTCAAGCCCATTGCTGTAGCCACAGTGTCAGTCCATCTCATTGAAAGTCATCCTCTGTTTTGCTGACCCTCCAGCTTTCCAAGCATGTTGTCACTTTCCAGTGAATAGCACCTCGTAACGGCGTTCCTCAAGTATGTGAGACAGAGCCTTGTCATCCTTACTTCTAAGGAACACTCTGGCTGCAGTTTCTCCAAGACCTGTCTGTTCTTTAGGCATTCTGTGGGATATTCAACACTCTTCTCCAGGACCACAACTCAAAGGCATCAACTTTGCTTCTGTCATCTTTAATCATTGTCCAACTCTCATATGTATAGCAAGTAATTGAAAAGACTGTGGCGTGTATCAAGTGTACCTTAGTCTTTAAACTGATATCATTGCTCCTCAGTACTTGGGAGAAGTCCTTGATGGCAGACCTACCCATTGCAACATGTCTTTTGATTTCTTGATTGCTGCTGCCAAGGATGTTGATTGTGGATCATAAGATGAAATAATGGACATTTTCAGTCTTTTCTCCATCTGTCATGATGTTGCTTATTGGCTTGTGGGTAAGGATTTTTATCTTCTGGAGGTTGAGATGTAATCTATATCGAAAGCTGTAGTCTTTTATCTTTCTCAGCAAGTGTTTCAAGTCTTCCAAGGGCAGTGGCGCAATGGCTATACACCGGACTGCTACTTAAAAGATTGTCATCCAACCCACCGGCTGTTCTGAGTGAGAAAGACCTGGAAATCTGCTCTGTAAAGTGTACAGTCTGCTCTGTCCCCTAAGAGTACTCTTGAGTCCAAGTTGACCGCTGGCACGTAGCCACAACAATGGCACAAACAATTAAATGCTCAAATATTAGACATGAGTTTGGTTTGAGCCCACCCAGAGGTACCTTGAAAGACAAGTGACATCTTTTTCCAAACGATCACGGCCTAGGAAACCGTACGGAGCAGTTCTCCTGCACGCCACGGGTCAGAGGCACCTTCAGCATTAGCAGCTACAACAGCAGCCACGCGTGCATGTGTTCACTGCCTGGTTCAAAGACTGCGTGATAGCCACGGAAAGAAATGCAAAACTTTAAATTAGCACAGCTTGAAAGAACAGGTTTGACATTAGGTTAAAGGAAATACAGCTCTGGGGGCTTTAGAGTAAGGAGTTACACTGTATTACACTGTAGACCCAAAGGCACTTGATTCTTCCTGTGAGATTTGCAGACTCTGAAAACCGCTGAGGATCAGCTTTGAGTTGACTCCGGCTTGATGGTAAGTAACAACAACAGTGTCACTTGGTTCTTTTTAAAAATGTCCTTGTGGGGAGGAGTTGGCAGGGAGAAAAGTGCAAGAATGAATGGAAATTAAAAAAAAAATGTAGCTACTTGTTGTTATGTGCCATCAAGTCTGCTGTGACTCAGAGAGACCCTATGTACCTACCACAGGTCTAAACCCTACTCTGTTCTCAGCCAGTCTCACTGTATCCGACACACCTACCCCATTATCCCAATTACTATGTCAGTCCATCTCATTCTGCACTGTCTCTCCACACTTCTAAGCATGATGTCCTTCTCCAAGGACTGGTGTCACCTGGCCACTTGCCCAAAGTAAGTGTGACAGAGTTTCGACAGCTACTAGAAAAGAGACAACTTCACACGTGGCTTACGTGAGACTTCAGTGGGTTAACACAGTCTTTGTGCTCCACCCCTGCCCTCATCACTGCCTTCACCCAGTTCTGTTCTGATTAGATCATTTTCCCTTGGGTCCAGCACCGAACCATTTTCTCCTCTCTGTGACACTCTTGGAAAAGATGGAGTCAGCAGGAGAGAAGAAGACCCTCGGTCAGATGGATTGACATGGTGACTGCAGGAGTGGGCTCAGACAAGGTGGAAAGGGTGAAGATGGTTTTAGATTCTACTGTGATTAACAGGGTCGCTGTGAGTGGCCGTGGACTTGGCAGCACCTAACACAACAACAGCGTGGCACCGCCTCCTCTCAGACCCCCTCAGAAAGCTGAGACCAGGCCTGAAGCCTTGGGTTCTCTTTGCCCCCATTTGGGCAGGATACCAAACATAAAAGATGGATCTAAAGCTCAAACAAATGAAAAAATTGAAAGACCTTTAAACTCTCAGAAACAAAAGTATGCCAGTGTCATGACCTTAGAATCATCTATGCTTTCTACTTCTCAGTTTGAAAGTGGTGGTGGTGTTGTGTGCTGTCCAGTGAAACTGACTTAATAGCTGACCCTCCAGTGAGTTTTCAGGGGCAGCAAATCACATCAGAGGAGATTGACCGTCCTTCTTCCACGGAGCAACTACTGGCTTCGAATCACTTGTCTTTGGGATTTCAGTGCAGTTTCTTAACACTAAGCCACCAGAGCTCCAAGAAGTGTTGAGCATTGCAAAAAAATGCATGGAGGGTGGGGGATTGCAGGGGAGGCAGTGTTAGACACTCCTTTAGAGGAGGCTCTAAACTTTGCTGTGACTGAGGCTCCACTTTTTGATTTTTTTTTTTTTTTTTTACATTTTGGATATTTTTATCAAAACTTTTTAAACCCACTACCAGGCTACTCCTTGGAGGCAAGGATTCTGGGGCTTCGTCTGACATACTTTGGACATGCTGCAAGGAGAGACAGGTCTTTAGAGAGGGACATCATGCTTGGGAGGGTGGAGGGACAGCGCAGGAGGGGAAGACCCTCTATGAGGTGGATTGATTCAGTGACTGGGGTAATCGGGATGAGGGTGTCAGAGGCAATGAGATTGGCACAGGATAGAGCAGGGTTTAGGGCTGTTGTACATAGGGTCGCTGTGAGTCGCAAATGACTTGACGGCACATGACAACAACAACCTTGGAGCCAATTCCGATTCCTATCATTCGATCCTCTGGGGTTTCAGAGTTCACGTTAGTCTTTATGGGAGGAGACTAGCCATGTTTTCTCTGGTGGAGGGGCTGGTGAGTTCGAACTATTGACCTTTTCTGATTAGCAGCCCAGCACATGAGATTGAGAGCATACTTCTTCCTCTGTCTTTCTCTTTCGTTTCCTAAGTTCGGTCAGAGTGGTTCTCACTGTCCATGTGTTGACAGTATTGTCTGTGGAGAGATGTATCTTCAGTTCCTGGAATGAGGACATTGGCTTGTCTTTCATCATCCAGGCCTTACGGAGAGGATATCGTTCTGATTTATAAACCCTTTGGGCCTCGATAGGAAGAGCTCCACCTAATTAACAAGAGCCTGTGTTTTAGAGATAATTGTTTGACTTTCTGTGGCTTGTTTTTGGATCCTGACCCCATTTGTGTCAGAGGACATCTGTGCTCCAGAAGGTTTTTACTGCCTTTTTTTTTTTCCTTTTTCCTTTTTTTTTTCAGAAGACCACCAGGCTTCTGGATGTGTTTGAACTTCCAGCCTTTTAGTTGTTAACTAGCCATTGTTAACTAATACAATGTATTGTCTGTCTGTACCTCCTGCATCAGCAGGAGTTGGAATTGACTCAGTGTGGGGATACTTTCTTGTTTGTGTGTCTGCACTTTGAAATGCTAAATTTCCTTGAAAGCTGGTATTTCCTTGGAAGTGGTATTTTAGGGAAATGTATTTTCATTCAGAAGTAAGTATACAAAAAGAAATGTATCTTGGGCTTGTGTGTCTCATACAATTTGACCAGTTTTAAATGGTCAGATGAATAGGGAACACCCAGTTGGATGCATACCTCACTTTAACATTTTGTTTTCTACCTATATGAAGACTCACTCCTAAGGAATGATTGACTTTTCTATGTTGTAATTTAACGGCTCTCACACCTTAGTTTAAGCTTTGTGATCAGAAGCAGCTAATATCATTGGTTTGACTGCAGGAAATGCTGGTACTCATATATCTTAATAAGGTATACTAAGTGTTAGAAAAATCACTTCAACTTCAATGTTAAAGGATCTATCTTCTTTGGTATTTTCCTTAACAGTTTTGTTTTCTTTAAGTGATTGTCTGCGCTTCCCTAATTTCTATAACCAAACTGGAGTGGAATCCAAAAGAAAAGGTAAATTTTCAATCTTTCTCACTATGATCATCGAACCTAGCTATTTGCAACTGTGTCTGGGTCAGGTTGGAAAAGGGTACTGCTGTCTTCCAGAGCACATTGCAAAATGTAGAGTCAGTATGTTATATAAACAGCTTCTTGTTGGTTACCTTCAAGTTTGACCCTCACAAACTAGAGACAAGGGGACGAAATGCTGCTCGGTCCTGTCAGTTCACATGATTAGTTGTAGATTGGACCATTGTGATACATAGTGTTTCCATTAGGTGATTTTTGGAAATAGGTTTCCATATTTCTTCATAGTTCCTATTAGCCTGGAAGCTCCACTTCTAAGCTTGGCCAGCTTCACAGCAACACACTATCTACCATTGGCAGACCCTGGGTGTTGGCTGTGCATGGGTCTGTTGGCTCGAATTGAATCTTTCAGTATCAAGAAGAAAAAGATTCTCACCACTGGGTGAATGAGCAGCACCGAGATAAGATGGAGAAGAGATTGAGGTTGTTAACACTTTTAGCTTGCTCGGCTTCCAATCAGTACTCTTGGCATCAGCAGTCAGGAAATCAAAAGTTAACTTGCATCCTTTCCAAAGAGCTAGAGTAATGATGTCAGTTTAGGGACTAAGGTGCGCCTGATCCAGATGAGTCTTTGCACTTACTTGCTATGAATCAGAGAGCTGGACCTTGACTGAGGGCCACAGAAGAATTGATGCCTTTGAATTGTGGTGCTGGAGAAGAGTATTGAACTTACCGTGGATCACTAAGAGGTCTGGATTGGACAGGGTGAAAAACCAGGTTTCTCCTTGAGAGGCAAGGATTTTGAAGCTTCATCTCATACTTTGTGAGAGGAACCAGTTCTTGGAGAAGGACATCATGCTGGAATGGTGTGGGGACAGCGCACGAGAAGGGGACATTATATGGGATGGATTGACAATAATTGAGGTAATGGGGATTGATGTGTCAGAGTCAGTCTGACAGGCTCAGGACAGGGCAGGGTTCAGAGCTATTGTACATAGGGTCACTATGAGTCACAAGCACCTTGATGGCACATAACAAAAACAACGATACTAGGTTCTACCACTGAACCACAACCACTTTGTGATGGAAGCAGTGAATGTGCTTGGCTGCTAACCAAGAAGTGGGTGGATCGAGGCAACCCGTAGGCACCTCAAAAGAAACACCTGCCTCCCCCATAAGATAATAGTAATTACCTACTATAATAATAATTACCAATTGAAAATCCTGTGGCACACAGTTCTACTCTGAGACACATGGCGTCACCTTGAGTCGAAGTTGACTTGATGGTAGCTAGTTATAATCAACTTGGACCAAGAGGCAGTAGTCAGAACAGAGCAGGGTAACACTGCATGGTTCAAAATTGGGGAGGGTGTATGCCAGGAATGCATCCTGTCTCCATACCTTTTCAACATGTATGCAGAGCAGATTATCCGAGAGGCTGGGCTCTATGAGGAGAATTGTGGCATCAGGATTAGTGGAAGATCTATTAACAATCTGCGTTATGCAGATGACACAACCCTGCTTGCTGAAACTGAGGAGGACCTCATGCACTTGCTGCAAAGGGTCAAGGACTGCAGCCTTCAGTATGGACTGAGGCTCAATGTCAAGAAGACAAAGATTCTCACCACTGGACCAGTTGGCAGCGTCAGAATGGATGGCGAAGAGATTGAGATTGTTCACAGCTTCAGTTTGCTCGGCTCCACAGTCAACACTCTTGGCACCAGCAGTCAGGAAATCAAAAAGCGTATCGCGATGGGAAAGTCTGCTGTTAGGGACCTCTCTAAAGTACTCAGGAGCAACGGGGTCTCTCTGGAGACTAAGGTGCACCTGATACAGGCCATGGTATTTGCAATTGCTTGTTATGCATCAGAGAGTTGGACAATGACTAGGGAGGACAGAAGGAGAATTGATGCCTTTGAGCTGTGGTGCTGGAGAAGAGTACTGAATATACCATGGACTGCCAGGAAAACAGATTCATCTTGGAGAGGATTAAACCAAGCTACTCCTTGGAGGCAAGGATTCTGGGGCTTCGTCTGACATACTTTGGACATGTTGCCAGGAGGGACAGGTCCTTGGAGAGGGACGTCATGCTTGGGAGGGTGGAGGGACAGCGCAGGAGGGGAAGACCTCCTATGAGATGGATTGATTCGGTGACTGGGGTAATCGGGATGGGTGTGTCAGGGGCAGTGCGGTTGGCGCAGGATAGAGCAGGGTTTAGGGCTGTTGTGCATAGGGTCACTATGAGTCAAAAACAACTCAACGGCACATAACAACAACAACAGCCCAGTTATTTGGCAGTGTAATTGGGACATGCTGTCAGGAGTCCTTGGAAACAGACCTCGTGCTGAGAAAGGTGGAGGTTCAGAGAAATCAAGCAAGACCCATGACAAGGTGGAGCACCACAGTGACTGCTAGCAGTGGTCTCAATCATGTTGGAGATATAAGGATGGCACGGGGTAGGGCCAGGCTGTTCACAGGGTGGCTGTGAGTCATAGCTGACAGCAGACAACAACAGATAGAGTCATTGGAGTGTCTAGGTGGTGCAGTTCAACACTTGATAGCTGGCGGAAAGGTAGGTGGTTCAAACACATCCACCCACCTTGGAAGAAAAAAAAAAACCCGAATGACTACAACCTTGGAAACCCTTTCGAGTAGTTCTGCTCTGTGTACGTATGTTGTCATGAATTGGAATTGACTTCATGGCAGTTGGCAACAACGGCAATAGTGGCTTGAAGTAATTAGCTACCAGAGATGATACGGTTCTGGGTATTATTTTTCATGCCGAAATAAGACTGCTTGCTCGTTCTCTCATTGACTAAACATGTTTCCTCATCAGGTCACTTGTTTAAGGTAGGGAAACAAGATGAAGATGTATGGAGTCTGGAGGAAGCGTGGGATGTTAAAAAGAGGAGGCCAAGGCCAGCTCTAGTACCCTGGGTAGTTTTATTTCAGTATAAAATGAGACTTAAATGTAGCCAAGGCTAAAACCGGGAGAGAGTAGTTTCTGTGAAGCCTGTAGAGGGCGGCAGAGAGGCTTCAGGATTGAGGAGGTGACAAGAGCAAGCTTTGCAGGCTTTTGAACAAGCAAGGAAAATGTGCTGTGGGAGGAGTTTTAGGCACCAGCAACTCCTGGGATAGATTAGCGACGGGAGAAGGGAAAGAGGAGCTACTCAGGCGTGGAGAAAGGCATTTACTAATTCTGATTTCAAAAGAATAAATATTTACTTAGGTTGGAAGTACTAGAGGAAAATTTTTGGATAGATGCTGACGAGTGACTAACTTGAGAGTGAAGGCGGTTGAAGAGTGGAGGGAGGACTTCCAAGTTCTCATTTGGGGAGAACCACAGTGTAAGTGGTTACAGACCGAGAGATAAGGCCTCCACCAGGGTGAGATGATGTTGTGGGGGATGGAGGTATTAGAAGCATTGCTTGTGAGACAGGGTGACTAAGGTTCTCCAGATCCAAGCGGAGTCTATGTGAAGTAACGCTGCTAAACCAAAGGTGCTTTGCTGTGATGCTTTGAATCTGTCAGAACACATGGGATGGAGTGTTTGAAAGTGACTCATGAAATTGTTGTTGTTAAGTGCTGTCGTTGCCTGCGACTCATAGCGACCCTATGCACAACAGCCCTGAACCATACTCTGTCCTGTGTCAACCTTACTGTCCCTGGCACACCTACTCTCATTATCCCAGTCACTGAGTCAGTCCATCTCATCGAGGGTCTTCCTCTCTTATGCTGTCCCTTCACCCTCCCAAGCATGACGTCCTTCTTCAAGGACTGGTGCCTCTTTGCAACATGTCCAAAGTATGTCAGATGAAGCTTCAGAATCCTTGCCTCCAAGAAGCAGTCTGGTTCACCCTCTCTAGGACGAACCTGTTGGTTCTCTTAGAAGTCCATGGTATATTCAATACTTTTTCGAGCACCACAGCTCAAAGGCATCAATTCTTCCTCTGTCATCCCTAGTCATTGTCCAGCTCTCTGATGCATAGCAGTAATTGTGAAGACTATGGTCTGGGTTAGGTGCACCTTAGTCTCCAGACTGACATCGTTGCTCTTCAGTACTCTGGAGAGGTCCCTGACAGCAGACTTTCCCAGTGCAATTTATCTTTTGATTTCCTGGCTGCTGGTACCAACAGTGTTGATTATGGAGCCAAGCAAACTAAAGCTGAGTCATGCAGTTAGATACAGATAATGGTGGTTTATGAAATGCTGTGCGAGGAGGTGCATGGGGCTCCGGGAGAGAACAGAGTTCATGAGACCACCAGAAGCTCTGTTATCAGGGAGCAGGAGGGGGACTGCCTCTATCAAAGCTGAAATAAAGGGCAGACGTCACTGAACAAAGAGAAGAACCAGAGGTGAATGGGAGAGTCAGCTTTAGTCGTTGAGTCTCTACCTTGAGTGCAGTTCTGTGGGTGGGAAGGGCGGCCGTGGTACGTAAAAGAGCCCTGCGCTCACAAGGCTTGTGTAGTTCAGTAGGACAGTTAGTCAGTTGTTGACTGCCAAATGGAGCACTATGAAGAATAAAAAGAATACAACCAACACACTGTGGAACTCACTCAGCAAACAGTAGACAGATCTGTATCTTGAACATAGGAAACAACACTGTTAACCCAAAGATAACACCTCTGGTGGTTTGAATCCACCAGCGGCTCCGTGAGAGAAAGATGATCAACCTCCTCCCGTGTGACTTACACGACGGTCAGCTAAGAGTTAGTTCTGACTGAAAGGCAAGGCTAAGATGAGCAGTAACTCCGGGGAGACTCCCAGCACTTAGAATACTCATTCACACAGGATTGCAGGGGCGGTATTTGTCCAGGAAGGGAGAGAGGGAAAGGTTAACATAATGGAAACAAGAACTATGGAGAAAGAGTGAGAAGAGTGATGGTAGAATGTAGGGAGTGTCATCAGTGTCTTAAAATAAAATGCATTTGACTGGAAAATGCCACCTGCTCTGTCAACTTTAACATCATCCTCATCAAATGCACTGTGTGAATGCAGTTGTTGTTACTGTTGTTGATTGCCTTCGAGTCGAGCACGCCTCTTAGGGACCCTATGAGCAAAAGGCCTGAAGCCCCTCTACAGCTATCGACATTTACCAAAGTTCATTAAGTTTCTGGGGGCATGTGGTTTAGGAAGTGGATGCCATTGTAGCAGAAGCTATTTATTGTTACCAGAAAATGAGTTTGTTGTTGTTACGTGCTGTCATTTTGGAACTGACTCATCACTGACATTCCAGTGGGTTTTCGGAGGCAGTAAATCACATGAGAGGAGATTGCCCATCTTTCTCGTGCAGACCAGCTGGTGAATTCGAACTGTCTGCGTTTGGGTTGGCAGCACAGCTCCTTTTCACTAGGCCACCGAGCTCCTTCAGAGACCAAGAAGAGATATGAATTACTCCAGAGGCTCAGGCAGTTTTTCAAGGGGAAAGGAAATGATCAACCACGGTGCATAGCTGGGCAAACAGTCTTGAAGAACGAAGTCTCAGGATGTGGCAATAAAGGGAGTGAGTCACTGATGTTTTTCAAAAAGCATTTCGAGAACATTTGGGAAATGGAACCAATTACAGGAGGCTTAAAAAAATGGTGAGAGGAAATGGTTCATTCACAGGTTTGCCGAGCTCTGTGCTGGAGTGGAGGTGAGAGACGATGAGAGATACTATGGAGGCCAGAGGAGGCAGTGGGAGGGACAGGATGCTCTGAGCAGGAAGCCAGCAGAGAATAAAGGGGAGACTGAAGATGATGGTGGGAATGACCCAAACACGGGCTCAAAGTTCTTCTGTCAAATGGAACTTTAAAATGGTCAAATCATCCAGTACGTTATTGATGTTACGTGCCGTCGAGTCTCCTGTGACTCAGTGGCCCTGTGTACAAGAGCCCTAAACCCTGCTCTATCCTTCGCTAATCTCACTCTCTGACACACCTACTCCCATTACCCCAGTCATTGAATCGCTCCATCTCAATCGAGGGTCTTCCACTCTTGCACAGTCCCTCTACCCTCCTAAATATGATGTCCTTCTCCAACGACCAGTCCTTCCTTGTAACATGCCCACAGTGTGTCAGACTAAGCTTCTGAATCCTTGACTCCAAGGAGCATTCCAGCTTCACCTTCTCCAGGACAAACCTGTTTGTTCTCCTAGCAGTCCATTCAGCACTCTTCTCCATCACCACGGCTCAAGGCATCAATTCTCTTTCTGTCATCCCTAGTGACTATCCAGCTTCCTGACACATAGCACACAATTGCAAAGACTGTGGCCTGGATCAGATGCACCTGAGTCTCCAGCCTGAGTTGTTGCTCTTCAGTACTCAGGAGAGGTCCCTGATAGCTGACTTTCCCAATGCAATTTGTTTCTTGATTTCCTGGCTGCTGGTACCAGGAGTGTTGATTTGATGATTTATTCATTTCAAATATCTTTTTTTTTTATAACAAACACAAATGCAGGCTATACACATGGATTTCACCAGATAGGATACATAGGAATCAAATAGATTATATCTGTGGAAAGAACCGCTGGAGAAGCTCAATATCAACTATGAAAACTAGGCCAGGATCTGATTGTGGAACAGACCACCAACTACCCATATGCAAGTTCAAGCTGAAGTTGAAGAAGAAAAAATCAAATCCATAGGAACCAAAATTTGACCTTAAGTCTGGCCCATGCAGATTTCAAAACCATCTCAGGAACAGGTTTAAGGCCTTAAACACCAGTGAGTAAAGACCAAATGAGCTGTGGGAGGATAGCAAGAATATCGTCCATGAAGAATGCAAAAGATCATTACAAAGAACGTTATTACCAGGGGGGAAAATACCACTTCTCTGAGGTGCAGGACACGAGCCGCATTTATTGTTGGCTGCCATGAAGTTCACCATGTGCATAGCATCTCTCTGAAGGACAGATCTTAAAACCTTGATCCTGCACTATCCTCACAGTCTCGCACATGTTCAAGCCCATTGTCAAAACCACCGTGTCAGTCCATCTTGTTGGGAGTCTTCCTATCTCTTCTGCCTTTCTCACCTTGTGTCCCCTTTCAAGGACTCGCTCCCCCTGATAACATGCCCCAGGTACGTGAGAAGAAGTTTCACCATCCTTGCCTCTAAAAGGAAGAACACTTTGGCTGCACTTCCTTGGCTGTCCATGAAATAATTCAATACTCTTAACACCACAATTCAAAAGGTGTTCAATTAATTCCTTAAGGTGAACTTTTTCATGTAGGATAAGCTCCTGTGTATTTCACTATATAGCCACGAGGGGGAGAACTTCTCCCACAAATCGAACAAAAAACCTGAGCTGCCCCGAAGAGCACGCACATCAAAGGACATCCAAGCAGTTAAACATTCTTTTTACTCTCTTCTGTCTTTAAAAAACAAGAAAAGTACCTGTTTTCTGTTTATCCGTAGCTCACTGTCACTGTGGCACTTTTGGGTTGTCATTTGTTCTAAATATCAATGAATGCAGAAAAGCCTAACCACCATCACCCCGCCCCCAGACCCTTCTACGTTAATTTCACTGATTAAGAGAATCACTGAAGAGACCTTGGGTGGCTCAGATGAGTGAGTGCTGCCCGAACAGATGGCAGGTGGCATCCATTCAGAGGCACCACGAAGACGGGCCTGGTGTTTTGCATCCTGACATCCGCTGGAGCGCTTGTCTGCTGCGCTCGCTTGGGGGCTCCAGTGACTCAGAACTGACTGAGCCGCCTCCACTGCCACCGCTGACTGATGCCTTTGAATCACAGTGTTGGCGAGGAGGATTGGATATCCCACGGACTGCCAAAAGAACAAACAAGTTTCTCTTGGCGGAAGTGCAGCCAGCTTGCTCATTAGAGGCAAGAATGTTCCAATTTCAGCTTACATACTTGAGCTGTGTTGTCAGGAGGTACCGATTCTTGGAAAAGAGTCGTGCTGAGAAAGGTGAAGGGTCAGAGAAAGAGAGGAAGACCTTCAACAAGATGCATTGACGGTGACTGCAGCAGTGGGCTTGAATTTGGCAAGGGTCATGATGGGGCAGGAGAGGGAATGTTCTGGACTGTTGTTCATGGGATTGCTGTGAGTCGTACACGCCCCATCACTTAACAATATCCACCATCACCAGCGTCACCAGCTCCCTCCACCTCTCACCTTCACCACCCCCGGTACCCACTCGTACTCTCCCTTCTAGAACCTGCCATCACTGCCACCCAGGACTCACCATTTCCCCCCCCCCCACTACCATTGCCCACCATTGCCACCACTCACCTACCATCTCCTACCACCACCAGCAAGATTGTTTTAAAACAGCACATTCCAAAGGCTCCCCTGTTGGAGGAGGTGAAAAGTCTAAAGCCATTGTCTCATCTGACATTGCTAGGAGTTTAGAACTTTTATCTACATTCATGTGCAGGTATTGAACTAGGACCAGAAGAAAGCTCTTTGTCTCCTTGAAATAGTTAATAGTTCAGTGCTATTTCATGAAGATGTTAAAGAAATCCCTGCATGGTTTCTGTCTCTGTTGTTGGAAGCCCTCGTCTCTGTCCAGGGATGCTGTGGGATTGATTTCCCTGGTGGTGTCACCAATGTGAAGATACCTCTGGTGTTTATCTCCTCTGCGTGGCCCGGGGTGGGGGTGGGGGGGCGCGCAGTGTGGAAGGATGAGAGCATCCAGCAGGAGCATGATGTCTGTGAGCATTTGGTGGGGCTCAGTGGCGTCTTGGAATGAAAATTGGGTCCAGTAAAGTAACAGTCACCTTAGAACGGAGCTGCTTCCCTCTACATTTGTTTCCTCAGGCTGATAAAGTATAGTAGGGAAAAAAAAAAAAAGGCAAGTCTTTGTTTAAAATCAAAGATGGAAAACGGACAGGCCAAAGCCCTCATGTGGGCTTAAATTATGTTGCATACTAGCACATTTTGTTTATCCAGTGTTTAAAATGTTTTGAAATTAGTTTCTAGCATTTTATAAAAAGAGCATCACACACACAGATACGCATGTGGGCTTTTTCATCTCTCTCACACCCAGGGCCCACTTCAGTTTGGTGAGAAGGGAAATAAACTGTTCTCTCTCTTCAACATTGGCAGTTTTGTCTTTTTATTCATAATCTGGCCTCCCTATAGCACTGAGTCTGAAACCTCTAAGTCATTCTCATGATGCTTGCCATCCACTGATCACTGCCCAAGAAGGTACAGTTTCAGCTAAGATGTAGACATCTTTTATTAATTATGTTAATGTTTTGAATCACTGTTTTCTAAGCTGACGTTTTCTACAATGACAAGGAAACCCCAGAAGGGAGTGGTGATCGGCCACCAGCTTCATCTAAAGCTTTCTCTCCTTTGGAATAACAGCTCGTGCTCTCACTGGCTACTTTTAACAAAAGTGTTTCCACAGATAGAAATAATCAATTGTGGAAGATTGATAGAGTTGGCAAAGGAGAGAGAGAGAAGAGTGGAGATTAGTGAATGAATGGTCAGGGTGAAGAGAGGGCAAGGCACAGGGAGATTTGATGAGACCTAATAAATGGTATTAATCATTTGTAACTAAGGTGATAAAATGTGAATGATGGACTGAAAGCAAATTTTTTTAAAAAAGCATTTTGTCCCCCACCTTGAGTTTTCAGCAGTGCTGAGCAACTTAATGTTACCTTTGGAAGACTATTTTGTCCATCCCAAGTTTGCCTTTCCCTTAATTTTATGGTGGTGGTGCCTTTTGAAGTCAAGCAAGCTGTCTTAAAACCAGAGGGAGTTAGAGCCACGGAGAAGGTCCTAAGGCATTATGTCCAAGGCCTGCGCGGTGCAGGGCTCTGCACAATCAGCTCTGTGGCCTTGTCACATGCATTTCCTCGGGGATGTATTTCTACTCCGTGGATCACTCCTCCCTTGAGGTTTTCAGCGTGCCGCATACCCTAACTAAGTTCTGTTTTGCTCTCAGGATTACATGTATCACGTGGTGAGCGCTATCTGTGAATGGACCGTGGCCTTTGGCTTTATCTTCTACTTCCTAACCTTCATCCAGGAGTTCCAGGTTGGTATTCAACCTAGCACATGTCGTCAGCTGCCGCAACTGAGCGTCAATAAGAATTTCTTGCACTTAGAAAAACAGAAAAGCACTATCGTTTGTGTTTGGTGTTTTTAAACTAAGACTTGGTTCTTTTCTTTGAGCACTTTTAGGTATAGAGAAGCAGAGCAAAGTACAGCATTCCTCTCCTTTGTGTGCTGTTTTGACATCTTGCACTCCTGGAGTACCTACCTTTGTTACAATTTAGGAGCCAGTAGTGATCTGTTATTAGTCACTGAAGCTCGTAGTTCACGGAAAGGTTCACTCTTTGTGTTGGTCAGTCCTGTGGGTTTTGACAGATGATGCATCATGTCAGGTCTACTATTTCCATACCCCACAGTAACTTTGTAACCCTCAAATGCTGTGTGCCCCACTTCCTACCCTGTCCTCATATTTTTAAAATTATTATTAATTTCAATGTACATCTATAGAGATTTTGGAATTCCATTCATTCATTGTTGCACTTTACTCCCCACCACCCCCACCCCACCCCCAGTTTGCTCCTCTCCGTGAAAAGCAAAAGAAAAACTCCTTCATTGGTATACAATCTCCCCCGCACACCCCCACCCCCACCCCGAGTATACTCCGCTCTGCAACCCTCATTCCGGACTCTTATGATAATCATAATGCTCTAAAATATATTTCTTCTAAACTATTCTCTCCCTCATCAGCTTCAATGCAGTAAACATAATTTATCCAGATTTTCTCAGTCTTACCCTCACCCCAGTGTGTTCTCATATTTTTTCTAAAGTGTAAATATTCACCTTTCCTGAGACTTAAGTACCTTCTAGCCCTTCAAATCATTGGAATTTTCATCTGTCCTCTGTTATGTTTATAGTCATATATCTTAGCTATTTTCTTTTGGAAGAGGTCACACTTACTAGTTCCAAATGATATAGTGTGTGTCTTTTGAAATAATATAGTATGTGTCTTTTGAAAAATGAAAGTATATTGTAGGAGAAAAATAATCCCAAAGCAGAGAGAAGGTGGGACCTTATCAGATTTGGAAATTGAAAATATTGTATTTTGGAACAAGCTAAAAGCTAGAGAAAGCCAGGGAAATTCTTTAGGACCCACTGAAGCATAGCACAGACCATACATCATGAGATGTTGTCTCTCTCTCATTCTCCTTAAAATGTATTTATTTTTTGTAGTTGAGAACACACAGCAAGGAGTCCACCCCTGGGAGTATCTGTGTGTAAAATCAGTGACATTGCCGGCATTCCTGGATTGTGCAAACATTTTCACTCTCCTTTTCTGAGTTCTTACTCTCCCAGTAACACAAACCCACTGTCCCATAAGGTTCCTATCTGATCTTTTGAGCTGCTATTGTCAGTTGGATCCCAAGTAGATAATTCTTAGAACAGCGTAATGCTCAAGGCAGACATTCTTTTACTAGTTAAGCTAAATTCTTGTTTGGTTTTTAAGAAGACTTTAGGGGATATTTTTGGTATAAAGTTTAAAGATTATCTCAAGGCAAGAGTTTTGAGGGGTGTGAAATGGTCTCTTGGGGGCAAAGCTGTTGGGCGTTTCGTAGTTGGCACTAGAATTGTTTACCTTCCTTCAAATTCTTTTTTTTTTAAGAGTGTCACCCTAAGGATATCCACAGAAATCAATGATGACATTTGAAGAAAGAAGAGCTGTATCTCAGTCAATGTCACTGACAGATTCTAAAAGTAGTACAGAGGACAGACGTGTTTCGACGCTGCCCTGATTCCAGCGCATTCGCGGCACACTCAGGACTTGAAACTCATTAACAAACGATTCCCAGTTGTTGTACTATTTCCAAAGGTATGTTTTCACAGAGAGCGTGGAGACTTTTTATGATGCTCTAGCACTTTTTTTAGAATTTTCTAAATAGATACTTTTTTTAATATATTAACTGATTCATACAGAAAAAAGATGTTAACCAGTAATGAAGAGTGCTTATTTTTGTACAAGATTGCTTCATTTTGTGTGATCCATCAAGATACACTAAATGAGGGATTTTAAATGTGTAGTGCATTCATGTAAAAGTAAAATCAGGGAGGGTTGTCGCTTTTGTAAGGTTTCTTCTTAGAGAAGGAACCGTATCATTTTATGTCATGAGAGTGTGTATAATAAAGGTCATATATAGAAATGTATATATATTTTATACATGGGAGCATTTATGAATTCATTTTATAATGATCACATATCCAAGTCATGAAAATTTAGTTTGTGTGTAGACACTAATTAAAGAGCCTTTGATTTTTAGATAGATTGACAATGTTTCTACTGAGAGGCCTTAAGATTCCGTGCATAGTAATGCTAAGTGAACACCACAGACCTCAGTTTTGGACCTCTCTCCCCAGGCCTCTATCTATGCTCCCAGGGGCAGGACTTTGACCATTGCTGCTAATACTTAGTGGGAACAATTCTTCCAGTGGGATGGAGTCAGCAAGACAGATTAGAAATAAAAAAGCTTTGGAAACAACAGAGTGAAATGATAGCCAGTGACTGGCTAACGGGGAACACCTGGATTTCAGATCCGATAGGTGGGCAAGGAAGGTGAGAAAGAACAGTCATTGTACTGTGGGCCCGTGGGAGGCAGGGCCTCGGGAAGGAGACTTTGGCATATTGCAAAAGTCAACCTGTAAAAAACATAAAAGGTGTTCTGATACCACCCTTTATCGTTGCTTGCTTAATTCAGAATCTGAAGCTCAACTCTTGATTTCGTTTTAGCTGGTGAAAGTGTTTAAGAGACAGCAGAGCCAGGAAAGGCAAAGAGAAAGGAGAGAGGGGATGTTGGAAGTTCTGAGTTCAGGGTGCTTTTTCTTTGATTCCCTGTGCCCAAGTGCCTCACACACTAAAGAGTATGAGTCAGGGCTTTTGCTTTTAGCAGGACCTATAGGCTTTACTTTATCACCCAAATGGTGAGATAAATGAAAAGTAAGACACTTCAGAGGAAGAAGTGAAAGATGAAGAAGGCTTGAATTAAATGCTTAAAAGTATGAACCCTCCTTCAAGGACCTCTAGACTTTCTGCCCATGTTGGGCCCAGTGGGATAGAACAGCCCCTTTGGCCAGCCTTGAAGGAGACTATTTGGTAGCTAAAGATGAAGATTGTCCAGTAGCTTCTTACCAATGATTTGAGTGAATGAAGGGATCAGAACCAGCCACAGCCAGCTTCCTGTGCAGTGACAAATCACATCTTCCGTGTATGTCCACCAAACTTGATAACTACTCTGAATCCATTGTAACTTATAGTAATGCTATGGATACCCGTTGTGACACAGGAACCAGCAATAAAGGGTGTGTTGAGTTACTTGAAATAGAAGAGGAACACCATTTAACCAGTTCCATGGAATTTGTGAGAGAACAAACCCCTGGTCATTTTTGGCTTCACACAGACTTTTATTACCAGCTCTTCTAACAATGCACTGCCATGTTTTCTTTCTCCCACCTCTCTGCACTATTAGATTGAGAGCTCCTTGAGGGCAGAGAAGATTAAGATGCCTTAATCTTTAACTTTGTAACTCCAGCATTTCTCACATGTAACACAGCATTTCTTGCTGGTACTTGGTAGTTGCTTAACCTCCCTGATGGTGTACTAACAGAACTGCTCTGGGCCTTTGTAGTGTTACACAGAGGGCCTCCGTGTGGTGCAGTGATGAGTTTAGTGATAAGCCAATGTCTGTTGTCACCAAGAAATGTTGAATGTTTTGCTTTGTATACTGTAAATGTTTCAGTGGTATGGGCTTCACATTTTATGACAACTCCCGTCAACCTGGACAGTTACCACAGAAACTGTTACACGGCCTTGACAAAATTGTACACCTGATGTGGCAGACTGAGAAGGCCCAGGATCACTCCAGACAGTCCTGTTCTGCTGATCACGTGCAGCTCCTAAAGCTGGCTTTATACACATTTTGGTCTACCCTCGCATTCCTGTAAAGTTTCATTCCTTGTATCTTCTGGCTGAAAAAAAGAAAAGAAAAGAAATAAAATGAAATTATTTCTTTATTTTAGGAATTTATGTCTTTGTTAAATTGCAAACCACCTTAGGAACTCCTCTGATATCGATTTGTTGGGGAGCTGATCACAGCCCGAGCTTGGACTTTACAAAGGTAGTTTAAGCCTTCTAGTGCCTTCATTCATGTAGCTTTGAATATGGACACAGTTCCTTTACTTCATAGTCTTTTCAAGGTCTCGTATTAGAAATGTGTATCAGATTCTAATAGGTGAAGGCACAAGGGATCTAACCAAGATTGTTAGGAGAAAAAAAAAAGCATCTCTTAAGTAGATACCTGGGAAATCCAGGGCAGAGTTGGCTTTGGGGATGGCCACCAAGGTGCCACCAGAACGCCTTCCCTAAGCAATGTTGTCCTGTCTGTTGGCATCACTCAGCCAGGAGCCTTGGTGGCACAGTGGTTGAGCACTCACCTGCTAACCAAAATGCGAGAAGCTCATCCCACCAGAGGCTCCTCAGGAGAAGGCGGAGGCGGTCTGCTTCCAGAAAGACTGCAGCCCTGGGACAGGACAGCTCTCCTCTGTTTTACGGGGTTGATGTGGGTGGCATCAGGTAAGTGTTCTCCTGTTGGGGATGAGATGATTTCTGAAACCTCAGACAGAAAAACCTACTCGATAAAAAGAGGACTTCTCAAAGTTGCAACAACCGAGCAGGAATTAAAACTCATTCTCTTCAACTGACTGGCTTGGGTCTTGTGCTGGATTAATTTCCGAGGACTGCGGTAACCAAGGGCATGGTTTATAAGAACAGAAAGTCATTGAGTCACGGTTTAAGGGAGTAGGAATCTAAAATGAGAGTGTCAGTTGTCCATTTTGAGGTGTTGAGGGAGAACTGTTTTATACCTGTCTTGGGGCTTCTGATAGCTCCAGGCATTCCTTGCTGTAGCTCCGGTCTCTGCTTCCAGAGCTAATGGTGGGCTGTTCCTTCCTTTTTATTTTAAATCAGTTGTTTATACCAAGTAGTGAATATAAAAACTGCATTATATTTATAGATTCAACAAAGAAGCATGTAACTAAACTTTGAAGATGTATATAGCACAAATTGGTTCCAGGGATGTTGATCATTGTGGTTTTGGGGTTTGTTTTGTTTTTGTTTTTTTTTTAAATGACATTTTTGCTGTATTTTAGCAAAAATACTCCCTTTCAGCAGTTTCTCCATAAACGATTCAGTGACATTTGATTACATTCCTTGAGTTGTACAACTGTTTTAACCCTTCTTCTCTGAGTTCTTCCCTCATCTTTTCTCCTTCATAAGGACACTACTCATGTTGGCTTGGTAGTACAACACATTAATATGCTCAGCTATAACCTAAAGGTTGGAGGTTTGAGTCCATGTAGTGGTGCCTCTGAAGAAAAACCTGGACTGCTTCTAAGAAATCAGCCACTGAAAACCCTGTATGAGCATAGTTGTCCTCTGACAGACAGGAGTTGGAATCCTAGACTAGACAGCAACTGGTTATATTGAATTAGGATCCAGGCGACTCCAGGATGTCCTTATGTTCACTCACAATGTCTTCAAAGATCCTGTTTCCAAACATGATCACATTTGCAGGTATCAGAGGGTTGGGACACCAGTCTATCCTCCTGGGAACACAGTTCATCCCGTAATGCATGCACGTCCCTAAATTAGTCACTGCATCACAGGTAGATGTGAGGTTCTGATTTTGCAAATCTGAGTCACATGTCACCCCTGGAGAGAAAGGGGGGGCAACACCACCCACACTGGTGATGAGTGAAGGTCATTTCCCAGAAGAGAATGAGGAATGGCTCCTGGAAGGGCACACGGACCCTGGAGTCCTCCATGGTCACAGGAAAGGCCCCGAGTTGTTCCAGAATCCACCAAATTAGACTTACTGAACCTTTGTAGGCAGAAAAGATTAGATTAAATGTAAGGTGGTTAGGTAAGGAAAATGTTCATTTCTTAGATTATTTTGGTCTTTTTTCAAGGCTCTGATGATTTTGTTTAAACCTGGAAGGTTGTCAGAGTTAAGCCTTGCCTTGTTCAGATGGAGGGACAGAGGCCACAGTCTTTAGGGACCTACACGACACGCTCTAACCACATGGCAATGAATTCCAGGCTGGGACTCTGTTTTCCTGAATCTGTATCCAGTGGGTCTTGCTCTTTAAAAAACAAAACAAAAAAAACTCAAAAAACAAAAAAAACCCAACACAAACACACACATAAAACGCTTAACAAGATTCCACAGGAATTGCATTTCACAAGCCAAATGAAGTACATCAGTGCTGTGCTGTGTTTGAGTTTCTAACATCCCTTACATGTGACCTGTTCCTATGTTCCCATTTTTTTTCAATCAGTTAGGGACAGCGTGGTCTGGTGTTCGGGCCTGGAATGAGGCAGGGAGGTGGGCAGGAGATAAGTAGTGTCCTGTTCTCCCCCACTCCCTGGTTCTGGCACGCCGGGAAGCCCAGCCGTCTCCCCACACACATACTCTTGGTCTGGCTCAGAATGTCCACAGTCTGAGATCCAGAATGTCACGCGCCTGGGCTAGGCCAGTTGCACAAGAGATCAGCCACAGCTCATGCCCTGGAGGGGAAGCGTCTGACTTTCCTTGGTCACCCCCAGCAGCTTTGTCTAAGATGAAGTTTGGGATCCTGCCAGGATGTCAGACTCTTGTTAGG